GCATGACCTCATAAACACAATAATCACTTTTGTTACTTTACAACAGGAGTCAATCGATTGGTATAATATTTATGATGATAGTAACACTATTGTTCAAAATATTCTCACAATTGCATATTCCAATAGTGATTTTCATTACTAATTACTACAAACCAATAATTGAGGCAAAAATCTAGATTCTGAAAATTCCTTATTTCTGTACAATTTATTAACCATAATGATAACGAATCGCTAATATTCTCTTAAGTTTTATTAATTTGGTTAAATTTATGGTTGCACACGTTACTGAATCACTTAAACTAATTTCCAATACTTTTTGTATTATAAATATATTATGTATTGAAATATTTTCTATGTGAATATTAAAACAAATTATAATCATTTGGTAAAATTCTATCATCACATCAAGTATTGAGATGAATTGTATTTTAGTGCAACTCCTGTAATAATAAGCTGGAGTTTGCTTATTGTTGCCTTTGGTTGCAGTCCAATGGTTTGGTGGTCACTATGATTTAGTGCACAAATGAAAACAATAGGACTTATAAGGCAAGGCATGTATATTATAAACTTAAGAGAAATAACAATCCATTCACAACTCATAGATTATAATTAAATTGCAATTGATTTGGAGTTACGTTTGAGAATTGATATATTGTACGATTGATGTCTATAGACTTCAATTGATTTAGTCTCTTACATTGAATGTGAGGTTTTAAAGAAAAGTAATTTAAAAAACATTAACTCATATTATCTATATTATCTAATTATTACAGTTGTATTTCTTACACTGTTTTGTAGCGTTTAGAGTTCATGTCATATTTGAATTAAAAAACAAATTCTAATTCATTTAAAATAAATTAATTAATGCATAAATGCATACTATATATTTCTGGTACAATATAACGGTATTAATATATAAGTTATATCAATATTATATTATATTAATTTATATTACAATAAAATGTTATGATTATTTAATTTAAATAAACTTTTAAATGCAATTTCAAAAAACTTTTATTAAGGACATTAAAATGTCCGTAGTTACTTGTAGTTACTAACTACCGTATTTCTTATACAAATGTAGTTTTTTAAAATTATAGAAAATATTTTTATAAAATATTATTTTTAAAATAGATAAATTCATGATATACAATATTAATGTTAATAATGAAATAAGTACTAATTGTGTATATGTTTAAACTTATTCTTAAATATTACAACTTTTATAATTGCTAATATAATACTTCAATTTGATATTACCGGTATATTGAGGTAATTGATTTCAAACCAAGGATATTTTCGGGAGTTAAAATTATAAAATTATTAAATAAAAATAGGAAATCGAGTAGATTTGTTATTGTCTTATAGTTTTATTGACTTAACCTCAGATCCACTCTTATAATTAACTTTTACAGACATTTAAAGATATTTTCTTAGACTTTTATTCGAATTTATATTTTCTATCATTTTATACAATATCTATAGTTTAGAATTGTATTATAAGTTATTTTATGTGAACCTAAGGTATAAATACTTTGTAATTGAGAACAAAATACTGTATATAAGAGACACACGTTTTGTATGCTTTACGGCAGTCTATGTCTGGTCGCAGACCTGAACGGTACCTCTGCTGAGGACCGGCTCTTATTTTGTAAATAAAGTGTAGTTCCCATCAGACTTAGTTGATTCATACGAAAGGTTCATTGGTAGGACTTTCAGGGGACTTGGTCTCAAATCCACTCCAGAAATATGAGAATATTTAATCAATATATGAATAATGAACATTTTATGTCTGTAACACAAAATGTGTATAAGATACTAAGATACAGTACAGTATATGTGTACCTTGGTCATAATACTAATGTAATGCCAGAAACGCGTGTTTTGAACGCATTTAAAATGTGTGCTTTACTTGCTTACAGTGCAGTGCATTGCAGTGAATGCCACCATTGAATCAATCATTGCATAGAACTGTAAGCAAAGCAAATTAGGTGTTCAAGTCGTTCTATAAATGAACTGGATACATTTAATTTTTGTTGATTATAAAACTTCATGGAACATATTATTAATAAACTTTAAGAAAATTTAGTAAAATTAGGAAATTTATAAATATGATTCACACAATATACAAAATTGAATATGCTCAAAATATGGTAAGAAATTAAGACATTTTTTTATAATAATCCTTTATTGAGTTAATTTTTGATTTTGAATTTGAGATTCTTATCAGCAGTGGTGTGATCAAATCATAAGATGTTAATTATCAAATTTTTGCTTTTTATTCACATTTTATATTTAACTAGTACCATGGTAATTTGTGTAGTCANACTGAATATGCTCAAAATATGGTAAGAAATTAAGACATTTTTTATAATAATCCTTTATTGAGTTATTTTTTGATTTTGAATTTGAGATTCTTATCAGCAGTGGTGTGATCAAATCATAAGATGTTAATTATCAAATTTTTGCTTTTTATTCACATTTTATAAAATTGATCATGGTACCATTAAACACATCAGTCATTACCCTTACCGCACTGTGAATAGGTAGTAACAGTAAGAGACCCAACGAGTTTTTCAAAGCGTGATTTTTATCAGTGTTCAAAGGTGGTAAAAAATGAAACATAAAATTAATTTAACTTAACAAAATATGGTTAATTTTGAATAAGGTTTTTTGGTATATATTACAATAGTAACACCTTGTCAATATCGTTTACTCTCATTTTTATTGTTTTATCTTTTGTGTTAGAAATGTTGTGTGCAGAGATTGGCCTTCAGTATAGTCTAAGTGATGATATTGATTGCATCCATAGCCGCCGTACAGCTCGAAGAGTCCGTTCAAACCAATGGCTTCCGACTGTTGACCACTGCCTCTGTTGTTCACACAATTGATGACAGTATGGGCCGCTTGAGCGCTAATGAAATTACTCACAACCACTCCGAAGTCCCGGTGCAGATCAGTGACACGTTCATACATATAAATACATATTGTATCAATTAAAAAACCTAAAGATTTTTGAAATTTCAAAGTAAATACAGTACAATACCTGCATTTGTATTTTAAAGCAATAATAAAGACAAAAAATATTATTGTTTATAAAAGATGTTATTTTTTGTAATTGTTCATACAAAAGATTTGAATCAAATACAATGCATATGTTTTAATATACGATAACAATATTCTAATCTTACAAAAAAGTAAATTTTTATACTTACTGTATTTCGTTATTACAGAATTTTTAAAATTAATTCAACATTTATTAGATATCAAATATTAAGGCCTCATTGATTAGTGTGGATATTTTCATAAACAGGCAACATTACCATAAAAAATAACACTAATGAAAGTGAAATACACATTATTTTAAATTAATATATTTTGATGTCCTAATAAATTTTAAAATGACAGTAATTATAAAGATGAATAAACAACATATTTATAATTTAAAAAATTATTTACAAATTTTTTGAATAATAAAATGATGGAAGAGTTGATATTCAGTATTAAGTTATTTTGATGCAAAATACCTACAAAATTGAAAAAACAATTTATGTCTAAAATTTTAATATTTTTATTGAGTTGAATACGATTTTAGGTTAGATATTCATTAGTTTATGTAAATTCTTAAGCAATAGGCATAAACTAGTATTGAATAATTAAATAGTTATTTTTTGTATTTTCGAAACGAAATTAAAAATATGACAATATATTCATTATTTATATAATTATATAATTTTTTGTTATATTTCTAAAGTATTATAATAGATATATATATTCTGTCAGCGAAGGCCTTAAACGAAAAGAGATGTGAAAAAGAAAAATATTCTGTATTTGTATTTGTGGGCCATTTTTATAGCGAAAATTGAAATGGAGTTTCTAATTCGCCGTCTTATTAATACCTAATAATTATTGAGATATTTTAGGTTAAAAAATAGAATAAAAATATCAAATAATATAATTATAAGCAATAAATATGAGCTGACATTGAAATTTTATTTTTGTTTTCCTTTAGAAGGTTATTCAATAATCAAATACAAAATCATTACTTTTAGTCGAGAATTCAAATTGAAAACCTTCAAAACGTTTGCATTAATTTATTTAATTATAAACTTTTACAATAAATTACTTCATAAATTAAAATTTTGAAACCTTTTTAAAGAGAATTTGCTCTTTTTGTTAATTGATTTTCGATATCAAATTGTCAGTCAATAGGCGTAAAGTAGACATTATTTTGTTTATTACAAACTTTCATTTTAGTTGTCTATTGGCTAAGAAAAGTGCATTCAATTAATGCTTTAATACAATTGGTTTTGGAGAATATCTAACTTCAGAACATGTCTCGTAATAATGTTTATAGTGTACACTCTATTACCGGTACACTTACTTACAGCCAACAAGATTATGAGATCATAATTGCCGACTAACTATTCATTTAGTTTAAACCCAAAGTTTTCTTATAGTAATCCAAACTTATTTTTAATAAATTTCATTGAGATTTAGTTTTTATTTCTTAAAGTATTAGAAACCAATCATTTAATGAACAATAAAACACAAAATTTTTATTTTTATTTATTTAAATATAATTTTCATTCCGAAATTATACTTTTAAATGGTATGTTTCATAACTTATATTTTTAAAAATTATTAAAGTTTTAACTAACTTGTAAGCTATGAATTACAATATTAGTATTATGAGAAATATTTCACAATTCATTATAATAGGATTGAATTTAAGAATTATAATATATTATATACTTTATAGAGTCTATTGATAAAAAAGTAAAAGCTTGAAAACTTGTTTCGTAACTCAATTATAAGTTTATTTAAATTAAATGACTGAGTAGTGATTGAAGACTAAACAAAAGTTAAAACAAAGGCCTTAATTGTAGAATAAGTTATAAATAATATTTGCATATCTTATGTGTTATCGGTTTATAATTCAAATGAATTGATTTGAGAGACATATCAGAAGTGATTCTCGACATTATATGTCGAGAGAGTTGTGTACCAGTAGTGCTGTAATAGTGTAAAAGTGTAAAGAAATGATAAAACGTATTGAAATTCAATGATTGTGTGTTATATTTGGTGTTATATTTAATTAAAATACAGATATTCGGGTCTAAGGCAGACATGCAATTACACACTCAGATCCATATGAGAGAAGCCAAACCATACAAATGTTCTCAATGTTCAAAAGCGTTCGCCAACTCATCGTATTTGTCTCAACACACTCGCATCCACTTAGGCATTAAGCCCTACCGGTGCGAGATATGCCAGAGAAAGTTCACGCAGTTGTCGCACCTGCAGCAACATATTAGGACGCATACGGGCGATAAGCCTTACAAATGCCGACATCCCGGTTGTAATAAAGCGTTTTCGCAACTCTCGAACCTTCAGTCCCACTCCCGGTGTCATCAAACAGATAAGCCCTACAAATGTAACAGTTGTTACAAATGCTTCACCGATGAAACCAGTCTTTTGGATCACATCCCGAAGCACAAGGAGTCCAAGCATCTGAAGACTCATATTTGTCAATATTGTGGTAAATCCTATACACAGGAAACCTATTTAGCAAAACATATGCAAAAACATGCCGACAGAATGGAGAAGCGCTCCGGACTTCTCAGAGCCGCCCATTCCTCCTCTGATGGCTATTGGCCTAAAGGCACGGTCATCGGCGCCGGTGGCAGCGGTGCCTCCAACCAGAACAGTGAATGTGTGGGCGACTTAGGCCCGCATGTGCACCACCATCACCATCACCACCACCATCAGACAGAACAGTCATGTCTGGCATCCGTTCTCAACGCAGACCAATCGTCTTCATCTCGGTATAGGGGAGAACTCGACCCAACACAGCATCGACTGTCCGCCGGACAACACCTGACCGGTGGCTCAAGCAATGGGAGACCATCTGATGACCTGCTGTACAGTATAGACCCGAAGACAACGACATCAGTATCTGCTTCTGCATTCACACCCATCCAAACGGCGGGTGTGTTGAGCGGCAGTAACGCCGCCCGCAATGCTGTGGCCGCCGCTTACTTCCCGTACGAGTCGTTCGGTTTCGCCACCAAAGCGGCCACAACTGGGATGACAGGAATGGAGATGAAGTCAGCGATGGAAGCGACCAAATCCAGTGGTCACACGTCTTTCCCCAACCAATTGATAGCTTTGCATCAAATCAGAAACTATGCATCGATGCCATCATCGGCTGCGTCGGCCATCGCTGGCGAACACCCGATATCTCTGAAAGATAAACACTCGCAATAAGTTTAGTAGGTTTAGTGCAATGGGATTAATGAACCGGTGATGTCAATCATTCGTATGTCTATTTCTATTATTTCAATTATCCAAATGTTTTTATTGGACATTTCATTGCCTAAAACGCGGCCAAAAAATATTCAATATATTTCATAATTAAAGTTTTGTCTAAATTTTTATTTAATTAAACGAAAGAATAACTTAGAATTTCTGCTCATTTCTTATATAGGAATTGATTTCTCACACAAAATGAAGCTGTGATTGAAATCTAATCTATAAAAGTGTATAAAACTTAATGTTAATTGAGACAAAATAACAACACCTTATAAATTAATTTAATACAAAACAAATAGCAATCATATGTCTGGAAATTCCACTGATTGATTATATTAAATTAGACTTATTTTCCCAAAACATTAATCTTTCTATTTTTTATTTCAAATCAAAAATATGATTTCAAGAAACCAAATAATGATAGGAAAAAGACTTCATTTTTTATAGTATCGATCAATGAATACATTGACAAAACCAAAAAGCGGTGCCTTTTGTAAACGTATTGTACAATATTATATATATAATAATAATATTATGAATTAAATGACACTCAAATTATTCTATTATAATATTCAATATAAATCTCAGATTAGTTGTTCTTATGATCATATAATCTAATCATTGCATAACTTATATAACACTTAACACTATTATCAGTCTCTCATTGAGTTTAAGTAAAGGCTGCTATAAATATAACAAATGTGTAAAAGTCTGTAAAAATACCAAACATTAAATGTCCATTTCTTTTATACTATTCAATCTAACGACCCGGTGCTCATCACTTGAGGTACAAATTTTTGAGTTTCCACTCAATTTCACACATATTGTTATCTTTGTAAACAAAATGATCTGATTATCATATATTAGTTTTAATACTGTATCTTATTATACTTTTACTTCTCATCTAACTCTAAGCTAACTGTGCTCTATGTAAGAGTCTAATCCCGGTATTAAATGGCCTCAAGATCTGGACTTAAAATTAGTAAAAATTGATTCTCCCTTTCATATTGTTTGCAATTCTATATCCAATTACTTTTATATACAAGATATAATGATATTACAATATATTAATAATTATTACTCCTATTATTATAATTAATATTATGTTTATTATTATTCGTACTTTAATTGAAGAAAATTTTTGTTTGCATTTAATATAAGTTAGAATAAGAAGTATTGTTTGTATTGTGTTATGAAAAGAATGAATGATTGAAACCATTCTATAAAAGTGACGACAAGTTAACCATTGAAACAAAACTATAAAGTGAGTTAAAAGTGAGCCAAAAGTTGGAAATTTTAGTTTTTTGCAAACATTTCTTTTATAATTACTCGTCTATTATATTCTCATGTCTTATAAATCCATTTTCAGTTACTTTTTCAATAGTTATGCAATCATACCACTCGCCAGTATCTTAAATTTGTGCCATTTTTAGTAATCAGTGAATCCGTTTAACAATTGACTTATTTTGAGCTCATTATTGAAGTTTTGTTTCAAATTTATTTAATTAAATGTTTTAATATATTATAAAAACTAAATTAAATTTCATGTGAATAAGTAAACGACATGTTTATTACAATTCGAGTTTAATTAAAGGCTTTTTCAATCGTATGGGACATAGTTTAGGCGCAAACTCTAAAACACTTATACAGGAATTGAGATTAAGATATTGTGAGCGCTATATTGTGATAATATTGAGGCACATTTGATAGAAGTTTTGCAAAACTTATATCACCCGTAATATAAGTATGCTTCAAATGCGAGTCAATTGATGTCGTGTTTGAATATTAATAATTTGCAAGATTTGTGCCAAATTTGAAACAGGGTTTGCCTTTAGACGACTTGAGATCCAAGTGTTGTTTACTTATTCTAAACGTATAGCTCTTCCAAAAGAGATTTGAATCGGATTTTATGCATATCTTATAAAGTTTTGCAAAATATTTAATTGCCGATCAAAATGATGACACTTTGATGACACGAATGATGTAATCAATGCCAAAATTGGTCCGAATTATAGAAAATAATTATACAAGTATTGAATTGAGTTGATCTCTCGGTGCTGATGGCGCTTATGTTTCAGCAATAAAGGAATAGTGAGAGGATTTATAATACTTTAATATTCATCATATTTTATTTCATTGAAACACATTTTAAATATGCGCTGCTTTTGAGCTCTTGTGATATTCATATCTTTTATATGATATCATATATGATATGAACGAACGGATTGTTTCAATTCTCTCTTCCATTCTCTTTCCTTATACTTTCAAATATTTCAACACCTTTTTCCTCGGTTTTCAAATGAATTTTTATATTTTTCTCATTATTTTCTAAATCCCACTGAGAAATAATGTGCTGTTTTTAATATTAGCAGCAATCAATGCACTTATTAATTGATTTTTTCAGTTTCTCATACAGTAATGCAAGTAATTATAAATAGAGACAAACTTGTATCGTATTGTATGGTTCGGTGGATTCGTCCACTTTTCAAATAAAATGATTTGTGTATCAAATTTACAAATTTAGTACATTTAGGATTAGTTTTATTAGTGTTATACCAAAGAATGAATAGTTATTTACAAATGGTTGGCATTTTTCGAAAGTATTTGAGAGTCAAATGTATTGAACATTTGAATGAGATATCTATGAATTGATAGGAAACACAGCACTCGTACCCATGTATGGAGTGGTTGTGAAGCCAATGGTGTCCAATGCGAGCATTCCCGACATGAAGAATACTGTCATTTGTTATTATTATGAATACATATAAAATATTATTATATTTGCTTTATTTGTATATTATTATTATTATTATTGAATCATGATTAAGTCATAATATGTAATGAACACATTTTAGCCATTAATTGTCGTTTCTATCAATATGTGTGTCTATATATATATATATCATAAATATTGCATTTTATGTAACATTTTATTCATATATAAAAACAATTATTTCATCTCATTTATAGAATTGAAGTGATTCTCAAAAATAAAATTATTTGAATTGATTTAAAATTATTGAAGCATTTCTTTATTTATTATAATTATAATTGTGTTTTTATAGGTTCATAAATCGACACATTTCTCAGTTATAAAATATTTATATAATCATTCAACAAAATCTTTATTGCTTTATAGAAAAATGATAGCATGATCATTTTGGTTTGTACTGTATTTAATATGAATTATATTGCTATCTTTTTATAAATATACTTTTACAAATTCAATATTAATTATTCAATAAAATCTGAAAACATAATCAATTTATATATTAAATTTAAATTCGTGATAAAATGAAGCAAATGTTAAGTATTTTGTAGCAAATGTTAGCTTGTTTACTGCGTTCACCTTAAATACAAACAACCAAACTACGAACATGATCATTAAATATAATTAATATTTCTAATAAGATTTGTTTAAAAATATCTTAAAATTATACGATTGATTTATCAACATGTTCTAGTTTAAAATGTTATTTAGAACTTATTTATACACAATTACAAAAAATAACATCTTTTATAAACAATAATATTATAGAAAAATGATAGCATGATCATTTTGGTTTGTACTGTATTTAATATGAATTATATTGCTATCTTTTTATAAATATACTTTTACAAATTCAATATTAATTATTCAATAAAATCTGAAAACATAATAAATTTATATATTAAATTTAAATTCGTGATAAAATGAACAACCAAACTACGAACATGATCATTAAATATAATTCATATTTCAAATAAGATTTGTTTAAAAATATCTTAAAATTATACGATTGATTTATCAACATGTTCTAGTTTAAAATGTTATTTAGAACTTATTTATACACAATTACAAAAAATAACATCTTTTATAAACAATAATA